AAACTTGGTGTCAGGAACCGAGGTACCACTAACTCAGTGCTGTGGCCTCAGTTGGATACATCGCTTAATAGTTTGGGACTTCATTTTCTTCATTTATAAGAGATGAGTCATTGGGGTTTTTCTAAACTAAAATCATACTTTAAGTGGTTGTTTATAATTGCTGCTCCTTCTAGATACTGAAATCACAGGATTCCTGCTCTTTCCTCCTATACTACCATTTTTAAAGTGGGAGAACATTTTAAGCCCAGAGAAGCAAATAAACAAAGGCAAAAGCAAGCCGCAGCCTGCCCAGCTAAATGAGAGGAAGTGTGACCACGGAGGGCCAGACAGGTCAGCAGCCTGTCACCTTCTGCCCCCTCTAGCTTTTTTACTGAAGCCCTTTACCTCTGGATTCTCTCTGGTCGCAGAGCTCAATCAGATCATGCGGAATGACTGAACAGGGACAGGAGAATTCCCATGGGAGGGACCGTGCGGAGAGGCACTGCAAACAAACATTCCCAAGGTAATGACAGCTAATGTCTATTCGGTATTTATTTCAATCTAGGCACTGTTATAAATTCTTTTCTGGATTCCTCTTTCAACCTTCCCAACAGCCATAGTATGCTATCCCTGCTGTGCAGAGTGAGGCGAGGGCCCAAAGGTGTTAAGTGCTTTGCTCAAGGTCATATATCCAGCAAAAGGCATGGAACACGGGGCAGGTAGCCCTGAAAGCTACATGCAACATACCGCCTATCCAGTAGGAGCCCTTTGTTCTCGCCAAGTTTATGTTGCTTTCTGAGTGTGGGTGACCTTCATCTGCCTGATGTATGAACTTGCAGGCAGAGTCCTCCTTCCTTCCACTGGTTTGTCAGATCATTCCACACTGACCCGGTGGATGAAGCCATGGGTCTTTAGGAGCCAGCTCTCTCCTTCTGTCCGGTACGGTTGGTTTTAAGAGACCAGAAGGGTGAGGGGAGTGCCAGGGGAGAGAAAGTCCGAGCACATCACCTCTCCACCTGCTTCCTCACCATCAGATCAGGCAGTTGGAGTAAATCATCTACGAAGTCCATTTGTGCCTTAATAGTTCACAATTTCACATTTTATCTCCACCAGTTAGTCCAGTTAGCCTTGTAGGATCCCTTTCTCCACTGAAACCTCTTTTTTTAATAGAAAAAATGGCCAATTGTCTTGCAATATTGTCTTCCTGTTTCTAAAATTGTCTTGGATGCTTGCCAAAAGATCCTTTTCTTTAAAAACAAAGTTTTTAAAGTCCTTTGAATAATATCGCCATCCACAATTTTTTAATAAATATCATGAAGAAGAGGGATCTTTTTTTTCAAAGCTCATGTGTTTCTCTCCTCTCCACCATTAGACAGTATTTTTTAAAGAAAATTTTCTATTTTCTTTCTTCTTTTTTCATTTTTGATGTTGTTTCTACTCATCTGTATTACTTCTTAACACAGCACTACCTTTCAAATAAAGTGGATCTTTAAAACTGTAAGTGATCTCCTCTGTGATTGCTTTACACTTATTCATACCTTTTTATCAGCAAACTTTGGATTTGCTGAAAACTCATGCGAAGGTGGCTATGTATGAAACCCAGCCTCAGGCCACCAGACAATACTCACTGTCCGTCTTTCTCTCTAGCTTCACTTTTTTCCTAGGCTCAGATCCTAAAACTTACTTCGGGCTGATAGTTTGTGTTTTCAATTTCAGACAAAGAAAAAAAATGGTGTTTTATTGAGAAACATTTAAGCAAGGTGCCTGGGTGGCTCAGTCAGTTAAGCGTCCTGCCCTCCCTTGATTTTGGCTCAGGTCACGATCTCAAGGTTCTTGGGGCTCAGAGCCGATAGTGCGATAGTGCGGCACCTGCTTGGGATTCTCAATCTCTACACCGCCCCCCCTTCCCTCCTCCCCTCTCCTGAAAATAAAAAAAATAAACAAAAAATAAAACATTTTAAACATCTACATGAGGGGTGCCTGGCTACTTCAGTAAGTGGAGCACGTGACTCTTGATCTCGGGGTTGTGAGTTTGAGCCTCACATGGGGTGTAGGGATTGCTTTAAAAAATAATAAAAACTTTAAAAAAATAAACATATACATAAGAAAAAAGAAATATATATAAATTATATACCCATGACCCAGCTTCACTTTATCAACATGTGGCCTGTTTCATCTCTACTCCCCTCAGATAATTTGGAAACAAATCTCAGATATTTTATTGCGTCATCTTTGATTAGTTAGTCGGTGAAGAGAGAGAATTTTATTTAAACAATCAACTACGATTTGGCTGGGTTTTACATTTCAGCAAGAAAAACCCCACTAAAATTTGCCTCAGCGTTTTGGACACTGATACGCTTTATGCCCCAAACCAAGATTTGTTTGTCATATCTTGACACTCACTTTTTTTTTCCTCTTCTGTTGATCGAGTTGTACTCCAAAACACAGAAACAGCGAGTCTGAGGACAATTTTAATCCAAAAGTCTACAAACCAAGTTATCTAGCAATCTGAAAATTACCGAAAGCAGTTCATGAATGATGTGTGTTTCAGGTACTAATTAAAGCTGTGTTCTCAATTTAGGTAGAACTCGATTTTATGGACTGTTCTTTTTTCAACAGCGAAAGCCTAAAGCCGCTGAGGACACCCAATTCTTCCCTCCACAATAGGGTCAGGTGAGATGGGGGGGGTCGTGGGAGGGTCTCACTTCCTTACAAATGGCAGATTTGCCAGATTTTTGTATCTGATGATGAGCTAGAAAACCGCAGCCAGCGGGTTTCTGCATTCCGGCTGACTGGTTGGGACGGGCCGTGGGCAGAGTGGCCGGGTGTCCTGGGCTGAGCTGAGACAGAAGTACGTCTGGGAGGAGCCTGGAAGAGATGCAGGAAGGAAAGGGATGGTCTTCCACAGAAGTTGCCAGCAGACCTGCCCTGAGGCTATGCCTGGGGTTAGGAGAACTTTTGAAAAATGGAAGGCTCTGCCGATCACTCCCCTACTTAGCCAGAAGTGGAAGTTAGATTCGCGGTTTTTAAGAAACTTCCTAGTCATAGCCCAGGCACTAGACGAAACAACTCACACATTACATGTAGATAGAGAGGATTTTTGTTCAGGGTAAGGGCACAGCAATCTGAGGATGAATTCCACTTCCTTCAAATGTTTGGACCTGAGCCAGACTATCACTTTAAACCCTGCCTTGGCTCAAGAGGAAATAAAGTGGGTTGCTTTCAATTGGCCGCTCACCTCAGCCTGGCTAAAGTCAAGTCCTTTCCACCCCTCCCCCTCCTTCCGCTCCCTCTTCTCCCCCTCTCCTCTTCTCTTCTTTATCCCCACCCCTCCCCCTTCTCCTTCCTTCCTCCTCTCTTCCCCCAGCCTCCTTCCCTTCCCCCTTCTCTCCTTTACCCTTCCTCCTCCCCCTTTCCCTCCTCTCCTTTACCCCTTCCCCTCCCCTCTTCCTCTCCTCCCCCTCCTCTTCCCCTTCTTTCTCCTCCCCACGCCTCTCCTTTACCCTCCCCCCTTGCTCTCCCTCTTTCCATGCCCCTCCCCCCCCAGTCCCCATCCTGGCAATGCTATCTATCTTGGAGTTCTCCTGGGAACCCTGGAGTTCTCTTTGCCCCCCCCCCCCACCTCCACCGCAAAGCTAGTTTCCCCTCTCCATCCCTTCTCTGAGCTGTTAGCCAGCCTCAAAAAGAAGCCAAAACCCTGAATAAACCAACTCGAGATAAACAGCAGCGGCATCAGCCTATGTGGGGAGCAGGTGGTGAGGAAGGGAGCGAAGCGCAGGGAGCAGAGAGGAGACGGGGAAGGATGTTGTCGGCCAGTGTCCCCCGAGGAGCTCCGCCAGAGCTTAGAAGCATCTCTCAGATCAAATCCTAAGTGTGCCTGCCTGGTGTGCTCAGCCTATGTGAGGTTTGTACGTGCTTCTTGGACTGAGTAAGCCGGAGGGAATCTGCCTTTGAGGTGGGGGAGTTTTGGGGTTTCAGAAGATCACTTGCTTCTTGGAGCCAACCAGACACATCGAGGCCGTGCAGCGTGTCACCACGGAGTGGAATTTTTCTTTGCTCTGAAGCTACCTAACACGGGTAAGGATGAAATCCCTGGTTGAGCCCCCTTGCCAGTGAGCTCAGCAGCTCCACACTTGGTCCACTGCAAGAAGGCCTTGGCTTCCGTCCTGCCTCGCAGCCGGTGCTACCACACTGTTTTACAGTCTTGAATTTGAAAGCTGTTGGTTTTACCAACACGGAGCCTCTGAATAGGGACCAGAAAGAATCCTCAAGAGAATGTTCGTAGCTGATAACAAGGGAGAGTGTCTGGTTTTGCGGGAGATGAAATGTTCTTTTGTGTGGGAGCAGGAAGCCAGCAGATAGTCCATTTCAATAGCTTTTTATACCCACCAGGCATGTTGAAATTGATCTTCTCCATCACCATTATCTATAAAACCTCTTTCGTTAGTGGCTTGGTTTGAAGAGTGCCGGTAACCCGTTCTCATTCAAAGGCATTATCTCTTCGGAGGAAGAGGAGTTGAGAGCCGTACCTTTATTCCCCATCATTTTTGCTTTTTTCCCCTAGATGTTGAAAGTTGAGCGAAAATGAAATCATGAACAAAACCTTGCAGTATCTTGAATTCTTCGTGAGGAGGCTAGCCCGGCTCACAAAATAAAGAAGTAGGTGGAGAAATCGCTGGCTATAATTAAAAGCCTGTAACTTTCCCAAAGAACGGTTGAGGAATTTGTGGAGGATCACTCTTCAGGCAGAATGATTTTGGTATACGTTAAGTTGGATTGATCTGTGTCTCTTTTAACTTTAAATGGTGATGCAATATATGGATATTGCTGACCGGGACCTTAAAATCATGAAGATTGTTTCAGCTGTCCAACAAACCCTTGTTTGGCTTCACAAATAAAACTTGATATAAACTTATTTCTGGCAGCAGGGAGAGTGCTGTCTCTCTGGGCGTCTAAAAAACCAGATGGCATTTTAAAAGTTGAATTAAATATCTGCAGGTTGTACTATGGACCCCTCTCCTCAGAGTCAGCTCGGCGTCTGTCCCGGGGAGGCCATCCTGAGCTCTCAGGACAGACCACCTCTCCCCGTGCCCACGGAGGACCCTCCATGCTGTCATCCCTGCACTGTGTTGTCACGGCCACTTAATCTACCAACCTCCTCTCCAAATTCTAAGCTGCTTAGCAGGCAGAGAGGACACCTTCCCATCTGGCTGTTTTTAGCCCCAACACAATGGCCGGGCTCCTCGAGGTGCTGCCGCAGGGGGTCAAGTGCTGACGACGACGACTCCTTGGGAGGGAGCCCGGGAGCCACCTGCAGCTCTGAGGTGAGGCAGAGAGACGCCGGTGCGTCCCAGACTGTGACGGGGCGGGAGACCTGTTGCAGAAGGATCAGCTCAGCTGTCAACCTCCAGCAACTCCGCATTTATTAACTGCCCTGGCAATGAATGATCTGTGCGTTTCCAGCAGTCGGGCTTGGGCGAGGCAGAGAGAAGTGGTGAGGAACCCCAGAGACACAGAGAGGGCTGGCGGGGTGGCAGGGAGCAGTGACTCCCTTTCTTCTGAACCCCGAGGGACCGCCGCCCAGGTGCCTGGGCCCCAGGTGTCCGTTTGAGCCATCTCTCGGCCCAGAGCTGCGGGTGTCCGGGACCTGTCCTCCTTCAGTCGCCGCCCGGAGGTGTGGCAACGGCGGGTTGCCCAACGTCCCCAGGAGGGGAGGCAGTCCAGTCCTACAGAAAGAGTGGCTGGTCCCGTTCAGGAGCCACCACAGTCCCTTTTATCAAGGCCAGCTATCTGGCAGGTTCCCATAGAGCAAACCAGCGGTCTTCACAAAGACATGACAGGGCTGTTCCGTGGAGTCTGGGACTATTCAGCCTTGGAGGTAATGGAGACATAATTGAGGAACATCGTGGAATTAGTGTCATCGCAGATGATCTAGTGCCTCAAGTTAATTTCGTCGGGTTGTGTTCGCAGAGCCGCAGTCGCTCATCTGGCGCAGCTGCCATCAGAGAGGTTTTTTTTTTTTTTCTTTTCTTTTTGTTTTCTCCAGCGTTTAGGAAATACAGCCCAAGTGCTCGGCCCATACAAGTTGCAGGAGCAGTTTCACGCCTCAGCTTTTAAAAAGGTATCATGATGTTATTCCTTGTTTTGCTTCTAGGAAGCAAGGGGTTTAAGGAAATGACTTGGGCGGGTGCATCCCTGCGGCCGAAAAAGACACAGACGTACTCCCCAGGGACCCGAGAGGGGTCTGTCTTCCCGAAGATGCCGGGCCCGCGTCCGGTCCCCTCGACGCTCCGGTCCGGTCCCTTGAGCGGGGGTCTCCGGCGCCTTCCTCGACGCCTGGGGACACCCAGGGGGGCTGGGGCGGCTAGAAAGGGCGGGAAGAACGAGGAAGAGGAGGGGACCGGACTGCCCCTCACTGCTCCGTGCCAAGGACACCGTCGCGGAGGCGCGGCCAGCTTCCCACGGGTCGCGCTTTCCGCCCCCGGGGACGGCGGAGCCCCGGCCGGTGCCCCTTCCCAGCCTCGGGCGGCCCCCGGGGCTGAGCAGGCTGACGCGAGAGAGGGAACTGCGAGGGCTTCCCGAGCGCTACGGGAAGGAGGAGGGACGGCAGCGAGGACCCCGAACCTGCCGGGACCGCCCCCCACGGCCCTGGCACGCCGTCCCGACGCGCGCCCTGCCCCCGGCTGCCCGCCCCCGGCGGCCCCCGCCCCTCTCGGGAGCCGCAGGGAATCAGGTCCCGGAGGAAGAGGGGAGGTGGGGAGGCGGATGAGGGGTGGGGGACCCCTTGACGTCACTGGAAGGAGGTGCCGGGGTAGGAAGTGGGCTGGGGAAAGTTTATAAATCGCCCCCGCCCTCGGCTCCTTCTAATCGAGGTCCGCAGAAGGCTCGGAGCGCGCGGCGCGGACACTCCCCGCAGCTCCTCCCCGGCGGCGGCGGCGGCGAAGGCGCAGGCGACTCGGCGCGGGCTCCGGGACTGCAGCGCAGCGGCCGGAGGCCCGGGGCTGCCAGGATTACCCCGGACGCGGTGGTCTCCCCGGCTGGAGCCGAGCCGGGGCTCTCGGGGCGCACGAGCGGAGGGCGACACGACAGACTCGGGCGGCCGGGTCCGTGGCCCGCGAGCTGCGCGGGGACCGGGCGAGCAGGCCGCGTCGCGCTCACCATGGTCGGCTGCCAGGACGCCGGGGTCCTGCTGTGCGCGCTGCTCGGCGGGCTGCTGCTCACAGGTGAGGCGGGGCGGGGGCCGGAGGCACGCGCGGGGCTGGGCGGGGGCGGCCGGCGGGCGCACCCTTGGGGCCGAGACCGGGCGCCCGCGGGGAGGCGCGGCTGCAGCCTGGAGGGGCGAGCCGCGCGGGGAACCTGGGGCGCCTGGGGGCCGTGGCGCCCTTTTCTGCCGTGGGCACGCGGGACGCGCGCCTGGGAGAGGAGAGCAGCTGGCGGGGGTCCGCGGGCATCGCCGCCCCGACGGTGCCGGCCGCTGGCACCGCGCTCGGGTGCGTGCCCTTTTGCGGCTGGCGTCGCCGATCCGCTCTGCCCGGCTCCCAGGTCGGGTCTCCGCGCCCAGGCTACAGGCTGCGGGAGCACCGCGCGTTGAGACCTGCCGGACCCCCCCACTCCCCAGTAGCCTGCTCCCAGGCTCCCCGGCGCGGGTCGGCAGGGCCCTCCGGAGCCCGCGAGGCTGCCCGGGGGCTCGGCTGAGACCCGGGCGTTGGCGATGTTGGGCACAAGCTACTCGTCGCGCCTCCAAAGGGGAGGAGGAGAGCCCACTTGGAGGGGGTCGCGTGCCAGCCGAGAGCGGACATATCCCAGGAGACGGCAAAGGCTGGTGTCTTTCGACCCACTTCGGGTCCCCGGGAACCCCGAATGGCCCCGAGAACGTTCCACCAGCTTCCACTCCTCCTGGCTTCTCGCCCACCGCCGGGCGCCGAGCGCGCTGCGCGCCGCCACCGGGCGAGGCCTCCGCCGCTGGTGCAGCCCAGGTCTCCGACCTGAGCGAACCTGACCGACCGGGGCGGTCGAGAACCCAAATACCGTTACGTTTCGGAACTGCAAGCCTAGCCTTTAAATTCCGAGAGAGGAGAGGGAGGACGATCAGGACCAAAAGATGCGGTTGGAGGAGTTTGGGAGCCCCGGCCCTTTGCGGGGAGTTGGGGATGCCCGCGGTAGAGCCGTGGGGACCCACGAGGTTATACCGCTGCTCGTGCGGAGGTCGCCCCCACCGCTGCGTCGAAGCCCGCGCGGACTTAGAGGCTTGGAGTCGCCTTTTCCGCCCGGCGGGGCCTAGTGGCCGGGCCACCGGTTCAGTCCCTCCCGGGGACAGAGTCACGTTTCGGAGCGCCTTTCTTTTAAGCATCCTAGAGAAAAGGTAAACTATGAAATAAAATACAGTAACATCAGAAAAGTTATTGCCGTGATTCCAGGGAAGGAAAAAGCGTTGAGCATATATATTTTTTAATGCCTGTTAAGCCCAAAAGGCAGTAACTTAAAAAAACATTCTGTCTCGGTGGGAAGGACTAATTAGATGGTCGGTTTCTAAGTAACAAGTCATAGTTCCAATTAGGTTGGCGAAAGTACTAAACTGAGAGTCAAGGCGAAGTCCTAATGTCTGAGAATTTGCGATAGGATGGGAAAGTCGCTAACATAACTGTATTAAAGGAAATACTGCTTTTCTATTTCAAAAATACATGTTTTTTTGGTTTTGAAAAGTCACTTATACTGAAGGATAGTTGCTCAGAGCACTTATGGTCTGAGTCCATTCACCTGTTATAAAAAGGTAAATCTAGGTAAATTCCTGCGAATCCAGAAAACAGAGGAAAAAGCTTGTTTCATTGGCTTTTCTGCTTCACACATACCCATATTTACTTTTGTTTCAAAAACGTGGTTGACCAGTGAAGTATGTAGTTCTGTTCATGATTAGGAGCAAGTTAGATTGGTAGCAGCTTTTCAGAAAACTGAGTAAGATTCTGTTGAGATTTCAGATTTTATTTTACTTAAACGAGACAGAAATCTTGGAACTCTTTTGTTATTAAAAACAAAAGTGTATGTGTTATAGTGAGAAAGCAAGAGGAAGCATTAGCAAGGAGAGAACCCTCTACCTGCTGCTTTAAGGGCTGTTGTTTAGTGGTTGGGGTGTGTAATTGTGGAAGCATGGCTTTGTAAACCACAAGCTTCTCCAGCTGATTAACAGCTCACAGTAAAACAATCAGCTGCCTACGTTGTAAATTGCATCAAGATTTTCAAACTGAAGCAAGGGGCTGCTTCTCTGGGGAGCGGTTGTGAAGAAAGAGGCCAAGTTTCTGCCCCCTGGGTTTATCAGGAGTCTGCTGATCTTTCAGGTGCTACATAGCCTTTGAGTATTTGTGAGTTACTAGTATTTTATGAATGTGTGTGTGTGGGGGGGGGTGGTTTGGGTGCACCGAGGTATAAAATCAGAGGCTTAGTCAGATAAAAAGATAAACCATTTCCCCCTAGAGATTACATTTAGCTTCTTCCAAATAGCTTGAGAAATAAAAAGGGGATAATAATTCAAATATTTTCACGTCCTCTATATTGCAGTTTTTCCCTCTAAAATGAATATGTCCCTTACTCCAGCTCAAAGGCTCATTTTCTTACTTTTAAGGCACAATTAAAAGACACAGACCCTTTTTTATCTGTCCCCCATTTTTCTTGATTTTTTGAGCTGCTGATATGTACAATTTGCTCTAATTTGCAAACGCATCCCTTATGAATCTTGTGAGGGAAATCTACATTAGCAATACAAAGTAAAAATGTACGTGAATATAAATACCCATTTCCAAATAGAATGTAATACGTCTTTCATAATAAAGCTAATTTTACATGACAGTTTTTGTTGTTTTCTCACAGGTTTAGGAAACCACACTTTTTTGGTAGCTTTTCCCTATTGCATATTTGAAATGTCAATTAGCACCTTTGGGGGTCCACAGAGGGGGTGTTCCACTTGATGGGTTGTGTTGCAGGTGAACGTAGGTGGTCTCCTGCTCTAGTTTGGTTCCTATTTTTACCTTATTATTTTAAGGGTTTTTTTTCCCCTGTCAAAAGTTCTAGAACAGGATACCCAGTTTCTTTTCTAGGATCACTAAGTGGATTTTTTGTTTTCATATTTAAAAGTCAGAAGTCAGATGCCTATTTGTAAGGTCCCTTTGCAATTCTTCAAGACTCAGTGAAATATTCCAAGAAATAGACTGAACATGGTGTGTCTTTTTCTCCCTCCCTTACACATCTGCATATACAATGGATGATGAGCCCTGTGATGCCAGAGCTGAGGCTGCAATGATGAGCTGGCTTTCACCTGCTATCAGTAATCACATTGCATTTTCATTTTCATCTACCAGCTGGTTAACTTGGTCTTTACTGGGTTGCAAGAGCTAAGCTGGTAGAGGCTTTCTGAACCATTCTTAATCATGGGCTTGTTTTTCTTTTTACAAGCAGAATGTGTAACTCTGTGAAGCAAACTCTACTTCTTAGCTCTGGTTACATTGCCTCTTCTAAGGAGGTCGGTCATTTTAAACTCAGAAGAATTGGTTTTTAAAAAATTCCCTTATTTGATTCAAAAATAACTTCATTCTAAAAACTTCATATTTCAATAAGGATGCTAAACCTTATTGGATAAGGATACTAAACTTAGTAAGGATACTAAACTTACTTAAAATTGGACCTGTATTGTGTGATTTTTTTTTTTTTTTTAGAAATAATCACTTTGTTCTCCTTGCCAAAAACTACTGAGTCATTCTAAACCTACTTTGATGGCATGCAATAAAGCAGTTGAAAATATGTTGCAAAAAAATAATTGGTTTTATATTGGCCAAAAAACCCGCAATGTCCTTGAGGAAGGTTAAGGTTATCCATCCTATTGCCGGGTTGTGGCTGATGTTTACTCTGGCTTGGGAAGTTCTGCAAAGCAAGAACAAATAACAAAGCAAGTAGCTTCTGTGGTGCTTTAAACTGAGATGTGTCTGTGAGTGGGCGGAAGAATGGAGAGAAAGTGAAAGAAGCCCTAGGCACCTGGGTGTTAAAATGCAAAGCTCCTGTTGGTGTTAGGTTCTTGGTGCAGTTGCTCGGTCAGGAGTTGATTGGATACCCAGTAAATATCACCTTTCCGAGTACTTGTCATTGTGGATAAGTAGAAGAAAGACATGTGAAACGGCACATATATTATTAGGAATTTATTATGAAGAATGGTTAAAAGCATTAAAATATGCTGTTGCATTGCTTTAAATAATTTAATAGCACAGGATAGTCCGTTCCATTCCATTGGTCTTAGTGTACTAGTGAGGCTTGTAAGGAATGACAAGATCTGCCAAATGCTTTCCAGGATCATTGTTGGTTCCTCACACACTGGGGTGCCTTGGAAATTGCATGCTGGTGATGAAATTACTGGATTTTAGACCAGATTGAAGAGGGGAAGGAAACGGGGAGGAATGGGGTAATTGAGGGAGGGATTGAAAGGAAAGCCTCGGCTTAGCATCTGGGACTGCAGGGGGGTTTCATTAAGGAAATGGTTCCATTGAGTCTGCTGAAGATAGTAGACTAGATTTCCTGCATTGCTGCTGGGGCGGATGTGGGGGGATGTCAAGAATTCCTGGGGATTTCCCATCAGTCTCCGTAAGCTGGATGCCTGAGAGCCGTATCTGATTCTTGCTCCTTTCCTTGATTTTGAGCTCCTGGTGAGATCTGATCTTGTCTCTCAGACACATGCATTGTGAGAGCTAGGTGGGACCTCGTGGAGGCAACCTGCTCATTTCAGAGATGAGAAAACCCACCCAGAACAGTTCTGTGTTCACCCCCCCACCCCCAGGAGGGCCAGTCGCTGGCTAGTGGCAGATCCAGGAACAGATACCGATGCTCACGGTAAAGATAACATTGCTTCTTCATTTCTCTGCTTCCTCCACCCCAAGCGGAGAAGAGATGTTCCAACATTTGTTGAGTGATGTTATTATGGGGCTAACGTTTCTTTTTAAGTGCTGGCGCCTTTTTTTTGAATACGATAATTTCCCCTGTCCTCTTAAGGAATTTAGGTTAAGAATATCAAAATTATGGGGCACCTGGGTGGATCATTCGGTTAAGCAGCCAACTCTTGATTTTGGCTCAGGTCATGATCTCACAGTTCATGAGATGGAGTCCTGCATTGGGCTCTGTGCTGACAGCGTGGAGCCTGCTTGAGTTCTTCCTCTCTCTCTCTCTCTCTCTCTCTCTCTCTTTTTCTCTC